TACTTTCAATGGGGTTTTTAATCTCCTGGGTATCTGTTTGATCTGTTTCATGGATTCCATTTCTTTTCTATGTTGGGCATTCATGGTTTGCATCATTTTCCTAAGCTCCTCTATTTTTTATATGTATCTCCTCTAGAGTCACTAAGCATGTCTCTCATTAGAGTCACCATCTCTAGTTATCTGAAAAATTATTTCTGATTGATTTTTTTCTAGAGCCTCTTTCATTTGCTTTGTTACTTCTGCTATTCCACTTCAGAGTTCAGGTGGGTAACTTTTGGATTGTTCCATCTCATTGCCCCCTAGGTTTGCCTTTGGTAAGCTGAAAGTCTGAGGTTGCATCTTGTTTAAGTGTTCTTATTTCCTTTTTTTTTTCAGTTGAATACCTAGGTTGATGCTTGTAAATTGCCTATGGTGAGTAGCTTTATTGCTAGTATTTATAACCCTTAGGAAATGACTACTTCTCAGAGGTGTCTTCCAGGTGTAGCTGGCTTTTGGTGTTTTGAGTCTGCTACAAGATCCTACCTCCTTGATTTTTGGGGGATGAGAAGTTGCTGCCTACTTGGTCCAGCCCCTGGTTCTTTGGCATTATCCTATAGTATTTTTTATGACCCTTAGACAATGTCAGTCTCGGTATACCAGAAAGAACAACTGATTGGAACAATTATGTCACTTTGGCAAAAGTGATAAAATCAGCAATAACAATAGCATCAAATACAGCATAGAAAATGACAAACTGAGGTAATTATTAATTTTCCACTTTTAACAATATGAACTAGATTTGTGGTTATCTAACAAAAATCTAAAATGAACCAGAAAATTGTGTGCAGTAAATAAGCCCTCAATATGGTGACTTTACCTTCAGGGGAGAAAATTTTAAAGGGGTTGATGGATAGAAATAGAGAAATAGAGGAGAGATTAGAAACAAAACTGGAGGACAAAAGAAGATCACACAAATTTGGGAAATTGGTGAAGACAGGAGGGAAGGAAAAAAAGAAGAAATAAAGACAAGAACAGAACAGAACAACAAAAAACTAGAAAGCATGTTCACACTCATAAAAACAAGAACAAACAGTCAAAAAAAACAATACAAAACAACACCAAAAAATAAAATAAGAAAAAAGAAAAGATGAAGAAAATGAGAAAAAAAATGTTCACTTCAAGTTGTGTCTCTGCTGTTACTGTTAGACAATGTGGGCAGAGTCTAGATTCAAACTGATTAATCCCGGCAAGCCAGACATAGCTTTATTGCAGGTTAGTGGATAATCCTAGTAAGCCTGCACCTTTAATTCCACTGAAGTTCAGGCTGGTTTCTGGCTTTGAGGGTGGACCCGAATTGTTAAGCCTGCAGCAGTCCTGCCAGATTAAACTTGGCCCTCTGACTCTGTTGCTGGGAGCCACTAGATGAAGCTCGCAGCTCACAACTGTTCTGAGTTCTGAGCTCAGCTGGCCCCTCTCCAAGATGGCTACCATCCAATTGCCCTCACCTGGGGGAATGTCTGAACACAAATAACTCACCAGCCACTGCAATCTGCTGCATGCATTGCTCCATTCCCCTGGACAGCTTCTCTAACCATCCAGGTTTCATTTTTCTGTGGAGGTCTCTTGGGTCACTAGTGGGTCTGCAAGTTTGAGCTGCCCCTCCCACACAGTGAGTCTGGGCTCAGGAAGAAAGCGCTGCCTGCCACTTGCTTCTTCTATGTTGAAGTCTCTCTGTTCAATCTCCCTGATGGCTTCAATTCTCTCTTCAGACCCTTCCTGGTTCCTGGAGACCACCGCTCTCCTTCTCTTCTTCACATTGCTATATTCCAGTGCCTGGACATCAAATCTCAGAGAGATTCTTTCTCTGCTGCTCACCACTCCACCATCTTCCCACAGGTCCCCAATTTTAGGGTATTTACATGGCAAATAAGGATTCATAAATCAAACTGTTACCACCAGAAGTAATTTAAGAGCTCCTCCAAGGGCCTACAAAGGGAAAGGTTCTATAGGATACACAGAAATAAGACAAAGAAAACATTTGAATGGTTAAAATTACACAGTTGCTTCATTTGGTTTGTCCCATTGGAAAGTCTCTAGTTATATAATTATAAGTTTATTGACTGATTCTGGTAGAGTTTCTGTTGTCTCTTTCTTTAATCCAAGCATTTACAATAAATATCTCAAGTTAAATTTTGCTTATAATATTTGAAATTCAAGCAAGGTTGAAGTCACTTATGAGGTCTACTACGATTGTCTGCTCAGGGATTCTTCAGAGTTAATTTCCATTTTAATTTCATATTTGTTACTGCTACCCTGTTGTCAACTTACATGCAAATTTTATCATGACTTATTAAATTTTAAATTAACCAATGGATCAGTTTTAGATTTTTGACTTTTGATGCACAGGAGTAGATATGTTCTGCAATAACAGGCTTTCCAATCCAGCACTTAATGTATGTGCAAAATAGAATTATGTCCACTGATTTTGTGTATATTGTACAATGAAAACTTACATAGGCACTGAAGGCTGCTTACTGCTATTTAGATGCAAGTATGAATATTTCATATTTGTAGCATGTTAGATATATGTTGATATGCTTTGAACATTTATTTATTGAGCTTGTGGGCCCTGGTCTAAGGATGGGCTTTTTGTACCAAACAAGATGGACCATACTTCTACCCTCCTGAGCTCACATTCTGAAAGACAAATAATATCCAAATAAATCAATAAGTCAGTAGACAATTTCAAGTTGTGGTGAAATGATATATAGTTTGAAGAAAAAACAATATGTATTTATGGCATTTATGCCAGAGAGCAAAGTTAGGATGCTAGGACAGCTTCTCTGACCATCTGGGTTAGATAAAACATGTCATGAAAACAGTTGGGTTGAACGGGGCAGGTAGGGATATGGGTAAAAGAGTCCATTTAACAGGCCTTAGAACTTTTTATAGCTGTCATTATTCCCTTCTTAGGCTCTTTTAAGCTTTTCTCAATGAAACCCTGTTGGACACCTACCATCACTATAAGGAGTGGAGAGATTTCTATAGTCAGGAAAACTCAAGGTAGAGAGAAATAGAATAGGAGAAGCTGAAATAAGGACACCAGGTGGAAGTCTGCTGAAATAGATCAGGAGAGAGACAGAAGTCTGACAGATGGGAGTAGCCCCAGAAGGAAAGAATGGAAGGGCAGTTATCTGGCTCCAAGCAGATCTGGTGATTAGACAAAGGTGTAGTTACAAGGAGGAGGCAGGGATGACTGTGTGGATTTCTTCAGGGAGGTTAATGTTGCCTTTATTTCCTCAGACTAGAGGACATCTATGGGTGCCCATACGACTTTGTGGAAGTCTTTGATGGACAGCAAGCTGCCTCACTCTCCATGGGCAGGTTTTGTGCTGGGACGGATCTCACATTCCTCTCCTCTTCAAATGTCATGACTGCAGTGTTCAGAAGTGACGCCATGATCACCAACACGGGGTTTTATGCTCTGTACAACACCGTGCAACAAGATGAAAGGGAGAGTGGTGGGTATCCTGACACTTCTCTTGCGGGGAGATTGTATCTAACCCATGTCCTCCTCCCTTAAGAGAGGAGTCTCTAAATCTGACCACACAAGTCCACCTTCACTGCTGACATCCACATTAAGAGCACTGCAGCCTCCTGTTCTGCCATCTGTTGTCATTGTCCTCTGAAGAGAATCCTGAGAGTAGGTGGCTAAGGTCTTCTATCTTGCATTGGCAGCTGTATGTCAACAGGGGACCAAGTGAGAGTATCTTCCTTGAAATGAAGGGAAAATGCAATAGGAAAAATCATTCTGGAGCAAAACTATGTCAAACTAGCCCACTTGCTTCTAGCTGAATCCAATACAGAACACTTACAGACCTCTGGAGTTCTATAGCAGAGTATAAGGAACTTTTCAGAGTTCTGAGTAGCTTATGCTTAGTGTGGCTGTGTAAAGTAACCTCCAGCTGGGATACTTCTGAGAGTTTAAGACAGACTCAGAAATACTGAACAGGTATTAATTGATCTTTAACAGTCATAAACCAAGACAGTTCCAGGCCAATTCAGACACAGGGCCACCCTACCAGGAGTCCAGAAGGGGAACATGTGCCCATGGGCTGGAAAAACATTTTGTACCTGTAGAAGGTCTTAGAGATGAAGATAACTCCAAAACTCAGAAGTCCCCATTTTCCTGTCTCCCATGTTTGTCTGTGCGGCTGGTGAATGGCAGTCATAGGTGTGAGGGCTGGGTGGATGACACCTGGGGCAGTGTGTGATGACAACTGGAACCTGACAGACGCCAGGGTAGTGTACCAGCAGCTTGGTTGTGGTGAGGCCCTATCAGCCCCAGCTCACAGCTGCTTGGATGGAGGCACTGGTCACGTCATGCTGGATGACAGCAGTGTACAGGGAATGAGGCTAAGTTGTGGCAGTGCACACACAAAGGATGGTTCTCCCCCAGCTGTGAGCACCATGAGGATGCCAGCGCCGTCTGCTCAGGTAACACGCATGGGCCCACAGCACACTTCAGGCAGAGAGAGGCTCACCCACTAGCAGCTCCTGGGAAGGGAGATGTCAATGCCAGTATGGAGCTAGTCAGTGAAATCTCTGGGCTTTGAGTCAGCTTTTAAGTCAATTTGTTTAAGTGTTAGCTTTCTTTCTTTTAGATTATAAGATGTTCAAGGTCCTACCTGGAAAGGTGTGGTGATTAAGTAGAAGACTGATATCATCAGATATCCTATTCCTGGGATGCTATGCCAGGCTGTTATTAAACAATCCACTCTCCTAAACAGGGATCGCAGTTGGTGCCTGACAAGCACATAATGCTATTCAACTGTATGCTACAACTGGTGCGCTCCTATTTTCATTTAATCTTCATAACCTCTAATGAAATAGAGCCTATTAGCTTTCACCCATCCCTGATCAGGCAGCAGAAGCACATCCAAGATCACACGCAGGTCAGTACTCTCTAAAGGCCATCTAAGGATGGCCTCACTGAGGCCCTGTGTTAAAGACAGCTCCACTCTGTCATGAAAGCTTGGTCAGCCTGGTAACTGACCAAAAGCAAAGAAACAGCATGTTTCACTTGAGCCACCAAGAACAAAGTGTCAGGGATACTAATCTTTTAGCCAGGTTTGATGAGTTATGATACTACGTAGTTTCCCAGCTGCCCAAATTAGGGTATGTTTGATCTTGAACAGAGCATCTGATTTTACTTATGAATTAACTCAGTCCATCTCTCACCCTGACTTTGAATAGGTATTGATGGCAATAACAATGGAGAACCAAAAGGTACTGTTTCTCTGTACAGTTCAATCAGTTGCAAGTCCCTGATGTATATGCATTCTGGCTACTGTTCAAGTCTGAAGTTCGGGCATAGGCCAATTAACTTCTCTGTTATTAATGAACAAGAGCATTGCAGCCCATTGGGATTGACAGGATGGTCAGCTAAGGGGCAACAGAGGGTGGGAATAGAAGTAGGAAGGAAAGAGGTTCAGTCTCTCAGCCACCAAAACTCCATGGGTCAGAGTCATCTGTGGAGAGGGCCATCTGCTTGCAACAATGATCATGCTCTGAGATGCTGCAGGGATCAGGGGAATATAAATCCCAGGTCAGCCCTCAGCAAACCATATGGAGGGATGACCAAGTATATGCCTGCTGTGCAAATATCCCAACTCTTGAGGAGCCAGAATCATCTCTGTCCATTGGGCACAGAGAAATTAAAGCTTTTGAGGGCCAATATTTTTGAGCATTTTCAAGGAGTATTCTGGATAGAGGTCCTTGCTCATGGTATTATTTTTTCTGTGTATTTTCAGATATCACTGATGACCATTCACTCACAGGTATTTCAGCTTTATGTAAGCTCTTTATGCAGTTTTGCATGTGCTTTGTCTTTAATTTTAGTTCATCCAGGAACCAGATGGACAGCCTTTCTTCCTTTTATATAGGAGAAGCTGCTGCAGTGAGGCCATTTGACAAATCCCAATTATATCTAATATTTCAGCCACAATTGGATGCTTTCAGCAATCTTGGTCTTAATTTCAGCTAGAATTTCTAAATAAGTGTTAAAATTTTATGGAAACCTATTTGAGCAGATAACAGTTTTGAACTAAGCAGCTCCAAAGTGGAGTGGTTTGGGCTCCACTGAACGGCAGAAGGGAAGGCTTTGTTAAAGTGGACTTGGAAGCAAGGCCAGGCAAAAAAATAATAATAATAACTTGATTGATGAATGCGGTGCAGCGGCCTTCTTTGGATCATTTCAGTGGAATGTCCCTGGTTAGGGATTAGTTAGAAGCTTCTGACTAGACCATTCACACTGAGTTGAGTTTCAGTTTTATTATTTACTATGATCCCAGAGTACTGAATCAGTTTAATGACGTCCTAATTAATTATTTTAACTAATACAACTAAGGATCTTCTATATAGGTATTTTATAACATGCCCAACTAAGAAAACATACTGTACCTTGTATTATCTTTGCACTTTCTTCTTTCATTGTTTTGTATGTGTATACCTATCTGTGCACACGGGTTCATAGAGCTCTTTCAACTGCATTATCCCTTTCTTTTCACAAAACTATACAATGATCTTCATCTGCCCAAGAAAATGTTATTTTGAGTCTAGGGAATTCTCCAAAGCAAATTTTTTTAGTGGTCAACAAAAGCATCCCAAGAACATGTTTTCCTTTTTTCTATTCTCATTGTAGCCCTTCTTGACCCCACTAAAAACACCAGGAGAGGTCAGCAGCCCCTTTCTGATGGAGTTTCTTCGCTGTTTCTTACAGATGAAGATTTTCATTGTGGTGGTTTGCTCACAAACAATTCAGGCACTTTCGCCAGTCCTTGGTATCCTAAAAACTACCCCACAAGTATTGTATGCACCTGGGATATACAAGTGGACATAAGGGCTCGTGTCAAACTTACATTTGAAGTGATCAAGTGAGTAAATATTCCCCACTTGCATTATTCTCTTCGCTCAGTTATGCTCACCAGTTACTGCTTTCCTTGCTCTATCCTTCCCAAAAGACTTCCATTTCTAATTTTTAAGAGTGAGCTAGTCCTGATGGATCAATGCAATATATTGATCAAATGTTGAAGTGCACAGATATTTTAACCCAACAATTCCAGTCCAAGAATTTGGTCCACAGATAAATTCTCAAGTGCACTAAGGGTCATCACATCAACCTTCATGGAGTAGCAATAGTGTGGAAACAATCTACTTATCTATCAGGCTGGGATCAGTTAAATAGATTCTCTTGCATCCACATAGTGCACGCTGCTATGAGTGAGCTGCAAGAAAACCATGAACAATTGTGCAGTCTGCCACCATTTTTTTTTTCTGCCACCATTTTGTATAGTCTCTTTTTGGAATGAAATAGAAGGAAGCTGTTTATTGAATCTGCTCCTGGGCAGAAGAGTGAAGTGAGGGGAAACAAGTCAGGGACAACAAAACTTCTTTTTTGTTTTTCACCAAATACTATCAATATAATTTAAATTCTGTCCCCTGTGCTTATAACCCATATTCAGACAATAGCACTGACTTTAAAAATGAAAACATATATAGAAACAGGAAGGGACATTTTGCCAGTGTCATTAACATTAGCTCTTCTTCTGAGCTATCGTTTTCTCTGTAGATTTCCCAGCCCTTCCTGAGCCAATGTGGGCCAACATTGACTGAGAGGGAAGTTCTAATAGGCTAAGTTTGACTGATACCATTTCACTTCACAGATTGGAAAATTTCTATGGCTGTCCGTATGACTTCATTGAAATCTTTGATGGCCCACAAAGTGAGTCTTTTTCGCTGGGAAGGTTCTGTTCCAGGGCAACCCCAATATTTACCTCCTCGTCAAACCAAATGACCGTGGTGTTCCATAGTGATGCAATCTTCACCAACATTGGTTTCTATGCATCTTATGAGTCCCTGGTGCAAGATGAGAATGACACAGGTAGGTCCTTCAGTCACTACTTGGCAATGATGGTAAAGTGGGAGGGTTCAGTCTGCTGGGCGCTATTGACCTGAAAGGGCCTTCCCATACTCACATGATCTGTCTTGGTGAAACTGGCTGACATCAGTACTGCTGAGGAATGCCATATCCCCATATAGCTTCTCATATTATAGGCATAGCACACAGTGCTGGGAAAGGATACTGATTTACCTTAACTTGGAGGCTGTTTCATTCAAAACCATGTGGGGGAAATGCTATTCCACACTAAGGATAGCAATAGTGTTGGAATACTTGGTGATTGTCACTTTATACGAGGCTTGCAAGGGTCCTGTTTGACCTGCATCAAGTAAACAATTAATCCAGTGTGGAAAACAAACATAAAAATATCCTCCCTTCACTCAAATTGCTGTAATAAAGCAAAGCCAAAGTGCTTTTGCAAGCAGTTTGAAGTCACAGGCTTTCCCCCCCAGCATGAGGGTAGAGCCCTCAAAAGTGAGCAGACTCAGCAGTGGCAAAGGGGTGGCCCCCAGGGTGGTAGTAGAACGAATCTGTCTTCCCCAGATGTGGCCCTCAGGCTGACCAATGGCAGCCACCGCTGTGAGGGCCGTGTGGAGCTGTACTACAATCGCAGCTGGGGCACAGTGTGTGACGATAGCTGGGACCTCCATGACGCCCAGGTGGTGTGCAGGCAGCTGGGCTGTGGCAGGGCCGTGGCAGCCCTCGGCCAGGCACATTTTGAGAGAGGTGAGGGCCCCATTGCCCTGGACGACATGGAGTGCATGGGGACAGAAGCCAGACTGTGGCACTGCCTGCACAGTGGCTGGTTCACCCACAACTGTGGCCACCATGAGGATGCTGGTGTCATCTGTTCAGGTGGGTGTTGCTTCTGAGTCCAGTGTGGACTAGTGACATTCTGGTTCCAGGAGCCTCTTGACCAACTGGTCATAGAGAAGCAGGGGATCCTAGATAGTCCCTAGGCCACTGATTCTCATACATCAGCCATTCAGAGCCCTGCATGCCCACCTGTTACACTGTAGTCATCATAATACTTTCCTTTGAACTGATTCTTCTGCTTTACTTATACAAATTCCTTTTAGAAGGAAATTTGATGACTTTACCATTATAAACAGAGAGCCAGGACCACCTGTCACCAATGACAATACAGAAAAAAGAAATAAAACTACGCTTAAAATATTTTAAAAAAATAAACAGCGACTTTTCTAATCAACTCATACCCTTGCCTATTTGAAAATACCCTTATTCAGAATAGAACAAAACATGAATTTCAAATTACAACTCAAGAAATATGCAAGTCTTAGGACAGAAGATGCACCACCTCAAGTTACCTCAGTCCCACCAGTGATGAGTCACACTTTGGGGAATCATCTCTTTGGTTGAATCCCTCATTTTATAAGTAACACAAAGAACTTTCCTAACAGCTGGGAACCCAGTTTCTACCCCAGGGCTCTTATTCTTCAGTTTTATCCTCTTTGAATTTCTCCAAGTAAATTCAATAGTTGGAGTCAAAAGTCCCCACCTATCTCTATATCCTTCTGGAAAGAGGCAAAATGGTTTATCAGCTAGCTAGGGTAGGATAAAGACACAAGGAAGGTGGAGGTAGGTACTGGACAGCTCTGAGAAGAGAGAAGTCAAGGGACAGAATCAGTGTTCTGGATGATGCAGGAGCTGAAGCCACAAACCAAGTATGAATCCAGGACAGGGCTAGGGCTTAAAGGGCCAGGAGATTTAGAAAACAGGGCCCTCACTGTCATGGGTAGATCAGAAACACTTGCACAGCAGCTCCAAATTCTGTGTCATCTCCACACCTGGCCCAGCTCCATAACCCACCCAAGGCCTTTCCACAGCCTCCCTGCATTGAGGTCACTTATGTCTGTCATTGAGATAATCTGGTTCTTTTCTTTACAAATAGACATTTTTTCTGGGAGGCAGGACCTACACACACACACACACACACACACACACACACACACACACACACGATTACAAACCCAAACTGTCTAGATTGATACTCCATACAAGGTCACCATTACTGTAGTCACAGTTTGCCAAAGAAAAAGAAAATGCCATTACAGTGCCTAGCAGCAGGACAGAAATGAACCCAATGATCCAAAACATCAGTGGTTATAACCATAGTAACTCAAAGCCATTCTTAAATGTCTAGATGGAGGTGTAGTTTCTCCCAAAATGAGACATTGTACTTTTCTGTTTCAAATAAGCCAACCTCTGGAGTTTAAAAAGAATGGAGACAACCTACCCTTACTTCCCATGTCTTTCACAGACTCTCTGCCTTATCCAACACCATCAGCGGCTGTGAGTTATTCAACCTCAGGTAATTTTAGTTCTTCTTAACTGATCAGCTTTAACTTGCCTTGGCAAAGTCATCCTGGGCAATAGGGTTGTGGTTTGGGGGTCAAATGCCATGTCTTCATCATTTACCAGCCTTGAGTTCTCTAGCAAGTCTCCAAATTACAGGATACCTCAGTTTTCCCCTGTGGATGAGGTTGAGGAAGATGGGGATTCATTGACTTTGTCTGTGTAGAAGGCTGAAGGAGTGCTTGCTAAACAGTAGGGCATGCTACTTACATGTTATCTTCTGACCTCATTCAAAGCCTGAGCACGATGGGGATTTATGTCCCTCTAATGCTTTCTACCCATGATAACCCAAGGCCATTCTTGGAGCCCAGATGAGGTACAGTTTCTTTCCAAAACAAGGCATTGTACATTGGTGATTCAAAGAAGCAAGTCTACCCACACAGTTTTTAAGAGTGAAGAAGCTAAAAGCAGCACTTTTTAGTTTGCTCCTGGCTCCTTTTGGCCCAGTAGTTGTTACATTTCAAATTTAGTCAGTAGCTCTTCTATGGCAGGCCTTTAAGGGAAAAATCAAACATGCAAAAGAGAACTGGGAGAAAGAAGTGACTCCAGTCTTTCAGAGAAAGCACAAGGGTAGGTTATTCTTCATAGCAGAGATCTCTAAAGGATGCTCTCTTGACTGTAAAATGTATCTTTAAAAAAAGGAAAAGAAAAATCAGCCAGGTGGGGTGGCACATCCCTGTAATCCCAACATTCAAGAGGCTGAGGCAGGAGGCTCACTGTGAGTTCAAGGCCAGCCTGAGCTACATAGTGAACTCAAGGCCAGCCTGTATTACACAGTGAGACCCTGTGGAAGGGAAGAAAGAAAGAAAGAAAGAAAGAAAGAAAGAAAGAAAGAAAGAAAGAAAGAAAGAAAGAAAGAAAGAAAGAAAGAAAGCAAAAAAGAAAAAGAAAGAAAGAAGAGGAAAGAAAAGAGAGGAAAGAAAAGAAAAGAAAAGAAGGAATCTATCAACCACCAACCTTTGGTTTTCCTCAGCTTATATGAGTTGGCTTATATTTACTGCTCACATGCCAACAGAGGATGAAAAGAATGCACCTACAGAGAAAGAACTTGAGAAAGGAATCCAGTTTAGAATCAGAGACTATCTGTAAATGATACAAAATATGGAGAGCCCTTGACTCTGTATAAAAGACAATTAACTAAGAATTAAACATGATAGCAAAGGGTCAACTTCCATTTAACACTTAACTAAAATGTTTAATTTTCCTCTTTTGGTTTTTATCCATTCTCAGCATCTTTTCCAAAGCCTATAGAGGTGCCCACATCAACAGGTAATCCTTTCTTCTCTCTTCAGTTGCCTTCACTTTGCAGTTTGAGTTCAGGAATATGCCACCATTGTTGTGGGAAGAAGCATCCCTGCTAGACAACACCATCCATTTCCACCCTCCTCCACAGTCTCAGGCTGGCCTTAGAAATGGCTGCTGCTAGAAGAATAGGAATGTCTGAGTTCACCTAGAAGATCTGTGACTGGAAGATAGTAAGAAGGAAGGGCTAGTGAGATGCAAGAATTGGTGTGTTAGCCAGCTTTCCATTGCTGTGACAAAATACCTGAGAATAACAACTTAAAGGAGGAAAGGTTTGTTTTAGCTCACAGTGTCAGAGGTCTCAGTCCATGGTCAACTGGCTCCATTGCTGAGGCCCTATAGTGAGGCAGAAACATCACTGTGGAGGAAGAAAGCTACTCACTTCAAGGCAGCCAGGAAGCAGAGACAATGAACAAGAGGAAGGAGCTGGGGGACAAGATATCCCCCAGGGCATTCCCCCCAGGACCCATTTTCTCCAGTTATGCCCTATCTCATTTTCTACAGTTTCAATCACCTGCCTGTAAGTCCATAGGTTCATAATCCCTATGAATTTTATTTAATTTTTTGGATTATAATCACAGGTATTTATTTAAGTTTTTAATTTTTATTAGTATATGTTTTCAGTACATAATGGTTACATTGCTCATGAGGAGTTGGCACATGTACATAATACATTTTAAATCTTCCTCTTCCCTTGCCTCTCCATCTTTTGGCTCCCTTCCCATTTGCAAAAGGTCTATCTCCCTCTTAATCAAAGTAATGTGCACACATTCATGAGCTACCGTCATATTTTAAATGTAACTATTTGATAGAGGCTGGGTGGCATTTTTTGAAGGCAAATTTACCAATATAATTTAGATGGTATTTGAAAAGAATATAAAATTTCATTATGTTTGCTTAGACTGTACTGACGGTGGCTATTTTTCTTTTTTACATATACAGTTTCTTCAACTCCTGGACAGCATCCACATGGTTTCAATCCAATAGGTACTTTTTCCATTCTTATATTTTGAAACTGTTTTTCTGAAGCTGGGATCCGGTCATTGTGAACAATTGATAATGTAGCAAAATTATCTCTGTGGCCCTGGTGCTGTATGGAAAAGTAGCTGTGTTTATTAAAGCCAGGAGGTCATAGAATGTGTTCTGTAAGTGTGATAATCTCTTCAAGGATAGGGCCAACTCACCCACCCACGTTGGGCACAACATCCAAAGGCCAGTACCACAGCCAAGCTCCAGGTTGTACTCTTATAGCACCTTCAAAAAGGGACCCCATGAATCAGCGCCAATCCTGGGGGCCCAGACCCTGAGAAGTAGAACTTCATCTAATTTGGATTCAAAAGATCCAAAAAATATACTCAATCAAGTTCTTACTTTCTTACAGCTGAAATGCTCTATCTTCCTCTGCTGGATTTTCCAACCCCCAACCACCTGCATCATTCCCAAAGAAATAATTCACATTTCTCTCAATTCAAGTAAAGTAAAACTAATTTTGTTCTGAAAATCTCATCATGTTCTTTGAGAGACCTAGTTTAAAAAATGTAGTCTGAATTCCAAGCATTGAGCTGCATTATTTTGAATTTTTAGAAAAACAACATGAAAAATGACACTGAAAAGAGGGTTCAACAATGTTATTTTTAAGTGGATCTTCCACAAACCAACATGGGGCCTGCATTCCCATAATGAAACTGTCCAGTGCAGAGAGGCATTGTAGAGTCCATGCTACATTTCAGGTGCAGAAAGCAGTCATAGCTCTTCCTGTGGTTATAAGGCTCCAATATTAGCATCCTCCTACCTAGATAGGTATATGCTATCCCAACAGCCGGCTTCCCACCAGGGTGGAATTCTCCAGCTTAGTGCACTGCTTCATTTCACTTTGAAGGAAGCTTCTCGTGCAAACTCAGCTTTTGACTCCTGCAGATCTGCCAGTGGTGAGGCTGGTTGGCGGCAAGAACCAGTGTGAGGGCCGCGTGGAGCTCCACCACAATGGCACCTGGGGCTCTGTGTGCGATGACCTGTGGGACCTGCCTGCTGCCCAGGTTGTGTGTCAGCAGCTGGGCTGTGGGATGGCCCTGGCAGCTCCTAGAGGTAGCCTGTTTGGCGATGGCTCCGGCCCTATCTTCCTAGATGATGTACAATGTACAGGTGAAGAGACCAACCTGGGGAAGTGCCTCCACCTCGGCCTGTCAGTGCACAACTGTGGGCACCATGAGGACGCTGGGGCCATCTGCTCAGGTATTTTTATGAACTCTGCCATGCCTGGGTCTCCTCCCAACCATGCAGGTCAATGCTGAATTGGTGTGGGGTCTCAGGTCAGGTGAGTGCCTTTTCTTGCTTTGCCTGGGACTGTCCTGGTTTTAGTACTCCAAGTCCCACAAACTGGGAACTGCTTAGACATTTGCCACCCTGGTGTCAGGAGAAGGGGACCCCCAGAAGAGATCCTGTAGGCACACAACGGGGATTAGAAAGCTGTGTCCTGTTCTGGGGCAGTTGTAACTTTCAGGAATGATTTTTCTGTGCATGTCAAGCACAGAAGTCTCTGTCAATGAAATTTCTCCAAGAAAACTATATTGTCTGAATTCTCTTGATTGCTGATTGCCTAAGTCAGGACCATTCCAAAATCTAAATTGATTTTTGATCTCAGTTTTGTTACCTTTTGCTACTAATTAACTGTGTTCAATGAACATCTATTTCTATTTCTATTCTACTCTTTCAGTCAGTTTGTTAAAATCTGAATATTCAATGTTTCATAGTGTCTAGGGATAAAATCTCTGAATCAGATAGTATCCAATATTCATCATACTACTTTGTAGCCAAATCTCCTGAATGACTATTAGTGACACTTCTTTGTAAGGTTCAGAGAGGCTTCCACGGGGCATCAGTAAGTCAGGGTCTCCCGGGAAAGGGAAAGACACTGTCTCACTGTCTGATCTCTGTGACAGTATCACTGCGTCAGGAAGCTCTGACCTACCACACTGGCGCTGACAAGGACTTGTGCACCCACTTGCTCGTGGCATTTCATTGATGTACACCCCCACTGATGGGAATGTGTTGTTGGCTTTTCTCTTTCAGCTGTTGAAGTTGTCCCAGCTTTGGCAGAAACGGCCCCCACTGTTGGTAATTTTCTCATTGTTTTTCTTAAAGCTTCTTAATTATCAGATCTTTCTAGGGGATTCCCTGAGGTCACAGCCAGTGATGTCAGTGTCCACCCACACCCATGCTTCCACCAGGACTGAGAAAATAAGAGCTGAAATGGAAGGAGAGGCCAGCTACTGCTCGTCTACTTTCTGGTTCTTATAGCATGTGTTAATTTAACTTGGCCCAATAGACAAATTTGACCTAAAGGAAATATGAAAACAAGATAAGTAAGCCTGATGCCATTGCCTATCAATCTGATGGCTTAGCTCTAACATCGATATTTATCCTTAACATTGTAACTACCATATTTCCAATCAAAGAATGGGAGTGATGGAACAAAATACTGGAATCAGAAGTAGCTCAGAAAAACCAGTCACTGCATTTATAATCACAAGTTTGACTTAGTTCTCTAAGACCTAGAAGCAGGAAGCAAGAGTTTTTAAGGCTCTGGTGTTTAGGGTATGTTATATTAATAACTAGAAAAATCCCATTCATAGCTGCCTGTCACATTCCAACAATAACCTCTGAGTATTCTGCAGATCTTCCTGACATTAGGTTGGTGGACGGGAAGAGCCGGTGTGAAGGGCGAGTTGAAGTCTACTACAACGGCACCTGGGGTACTGTGTGCGATGATCTCTGGGCCCTCAATGCTGCCCACGTGGTGTGCCAGCAGCTAGGCTGTGGAGAAGGCGTCGGTGCTCTGGGGAACGGCCACTTTGGGGAGGGTGTTGGGCACATCCTTCTGGATGACGTGCAGTGCCAAGGCAATGAGACTTCACTAGGCCAGTGCTGCCATTTGGGCTTGTCTGTCCACAACTGTGGCCACCATGAGGACGCTGGAGTCATCTGCTCAGGTACGCACTCCCAGTTTTCTTCTGGGGTTGACAGAGCTGTGGCTTTTGGTGGGGATCTGGAAATTAACATGAGGAAGTTTGGGTCCTATTCTGGTCCTCCAAACAGATGCCCAATGTCCATTTTCAAAGTTCTGAGATTCCCTACAGCAGTGGATATATAAGGGTGTGTAGCACAATAGTCCCACAGCATAACCTGACCTTGATTCCAAGAGACCTCTCCGTATTTCTTAGCCTCTTTCTTAATGTGCTGATTGGCCCTGGGCTTTACCCAACATCTATGAGTTCTCCCGAGTTCTCAGTCTTCAAACTGCAATCTTCAAGGATTTCCCAGATTCTGTCAACTACCCACTAGGGTCATGGCATTCCCTAGTCTTTGTACTTTAAAGCCGACTTCATAGTGTTGCTCTTAGGAATTCCATGAACAAAACCCAGTTTCTCATGCAATACTATTTCCTTTTTGCCTCTCTGGTTGAGATGGTTTTCTTTTTTTGTTGTTGTTTGTTTAATTAACCTCTATTTGTGTGTTATCTATGCTTTCTTCTTTGGCTAAAAAAGTGGAGTAGGAATTGGAATCAAATGAAATGAAAATATCCACAGCCCAGCATATTTATAGGACAGAGACTAGAATAATAGTATTTAATTAATTCCTCCATTTATTCAACAGATATTTTAATCTGTGTGCCAGGCACAATTCTAGATCCTGAGCACTTAGTACCAAATCTAGACTACCAACAATCATTCCAGTGAGAGGGCTGAAATCACTTGTACAGTTCATGATAGATTGTGAGCAGAAGAAAATAAATGCTGAATCAAGGATCATAATATGCTTTATTATAACAAGGAACCATTTTCCTCTAATGTTCAGACAACTTGTTATTGTGTTATAAGCCTACTTTAGCTTTTAAAAAAGGGGAAATCAATGATAGAAGCCTAAAGTCAGAATTAGGAAGGTTCCCAGTATTTTGCCACTCTAGAATATATTTCCTCCTCACTGCATTGAGTGGTTTTTCATCCTGGCATATTTTTCCTACAACCAAGGAACATTTCCCAGTCCCTGCCTTCAAACATTTCTGTCTGTATTTCAGTCTCAACTAAGAACGCTTTTTTACTTTTAGCTTCATGTATCAAAAATTATATTGCATCTAATTTAAATGTATCTGAGGTATTGAAATTTTAAGTAAAAATATCTTCTAAATTTCTGTTTGTTTTACAATTTCAGCATCAGCCACAGAAATGACCACTTCACCTGGTAATTATATTTCCTTTCTTGCCTTCTGTAAATCAGACACGCATAGATTGCCTTCCATATGATTAGGGATGCAGTTTGTATCTTGCATGAAACTAAATGTGAAGTTCACATCAGACTAATGTAAGGAGTTTGTATATCCCTTGATTGAAACAACTGAACAGATGGCATGCCTCTGAGCACAGGGAAGTGTGCCTGGTTGTCCCTCGTGCTCTGTGGCAACAGCTGATCTCTGAGATCACATTTAAGTGAGATGGCTTCGGAGAGTTTCTTCTCGTTTGGGTTTTTTGTTGTTGTTGTTTTAAACTATTATAGGACTTCAGACATCTCAGGGAAAGCTATAATCTACATTTTAAGAGAATAATGGATTGCCACCACATCTCCCAAGAATGTTTCACAGTACGACACCCTAATTCAGTGCTATGCAAATTTCAGGGGATTTGCATGGTTAGATAAATTGGGGAAATACCATATCTCTCTCTTGGTGATGCAAGCTCTTAGCACACTGAAGTCTCTGGAAAGTTCTACATAAGATATCTTTTTAAATTTTGGTCAAATTCAATTTTACTCAAACATCTTTGATCACTGAAACCTTTTGAGTGACAGTGTTGGAGAACACTTGGATTGTAGGACTCAGAGTTGGGGGACCTGGGGTTATATCTGGCTCTGGAATTAACCAACTGTCAATGATGAGCAAGTCCTCTTCCTCCATGGAGCCTCTGCTTCTATAATCGGTAGAACAAGAGGATGAAAATAGTCATCTGCGACCCTTGTCCTAGGAAATGGGTGGTCTGTATGTGTGTTAACAATTTGTGTCCTTTTGTAAACTTCCTTCTTCCGGACACACTGGAGACCATCCCAGGGCTTGAGTTGATCACTGTATGGCTCAAAAAGTTGGAAATACCCGCTCAACACAAAGCGACTGAACTGGAGTTTGCTCTGAACTGTCAGCAGTTATGAAAGTGGCCCTTGGTCTGTATTTTCAAATTTTCAAAGTCCCTCTGTCAGGCTTGACAGAAACTAACCTCTAAAGAAGATCAGATGGTGAAATATATTTCTCTTTTTGTGTGTGGATCTGTGAAAATTGCCCAGCAAGTCTCTCAGGCAAGGACAGAGTAGATACGGTGCCATCGTGGTAACACCGTCCTAAGAATTGGAAGAATCCTTGGAGATTGTTTAGAACAAAAGTCACAAGTGGGCTGCCCATGGGTCAGTTTTGACCCACTAATGAGTTTATCTTCACACAACCTAATTTTGCCTATGCATGTAAATTGTTTTAATCCAAAATATTAAGAGTGGAAGATTTCATATAAGAATCCAGACCTCCAAGAGTGGTATGGTTCTCACCTAGCATGTATGAGGCCCCATGAATGATCCCTAGCTCTGCAAAATCATCATCATCACCATCATTCAGATTTCCACCTGTGTGCACGTGTGCATATGTGTGTGTGTTTGTGTGTGTCTGTGTATGTGCTATCCTAGGGATAAAACCCAAGGCCTTGTGCATACTAGGCAAGTGCTCTACCACTAGCTATATCCCCGGCCCAAAATATCCAGCTTTGGTTGAAAAATCTAAGCATGACCCATAGTAACATGATTTCTTCAGGGCAGCAGTAGGCTGAGGCTCAGTAAGCTAAGACTGCCCTTTTATTTGGATATATGCTCTCTGTATCCTCCTATCCCTCCATGTGTATGTAGGCCTGTAACCATCTCCATTTGCATCCTTAGTGCTTCTCAGAGTTTAATATGTGCCTAACTCCCTTGGCTATCTTCTTAAAATGCAGATTTTGTTTCAACAGATTCTGGAGAATCTGGATTTTTAACAGTGGGATACAGATCCTGCTGGTCCATGGACTATCCTTTCATATGCAGCAGCTGAAGCTCAGAGATGCAAAGAATGTGTCCAAGGTCACACGTCCCATTATAAAAAAAAGAGCTAGAACCCAGAACATCTAGGTCACAGCCCCACGTACCACTTCTGTCAGTATTTATCTCTTTTAGCTAAATGAAACAGAGAATGGAAGAATCAAATAGGAACAAAGCATAATCAAATGTGCTGGGGCGGGCTGGGGATTTAGCTCAGCGGCAAAAGCGCCTGCCTGGCATGCGCAAGGTCGTGAGTTCGGTTCCCGGTACCGGAGAAAAACCAAAAAAAAAAAAAAATCAAATGTGCTGGGGCATATGTTTTAATGGGGTCATTTTAAAAAATTCTTTACCAATGAACTTGGTTGATAAGGATTGTTTTTAATCCTAATTTTCTTTAACTTCTGCTTACTTTTACAGATCCTACCTCAATTTCAGCCACAGATTTGGTCCTTTCAACTGGTAACAAATTTTCTGCTATTTTGTCCTCTTGCTACCTATCTCAGGGATGTTGCCACTTTAAGATTCTACCCAGATAGTACAGTTATACCCCTCACTGCCTAGGAATCACTCAGTGGAATATAACCTTGGTGAATAGACCAGAACTTGAAAGTAGACAAAAGGGGCTTCCATTCAGCCAAGTCGAGATCCCAGTGTTCAAACCCAAGTAAAGTGCTTGAATGCACATGGAGGTAATCTACAGAGCATGTCTCTCTTTGTACACACACATAATTACTTAAAAGTTGGCTGTCTGGCCTCCCTACTGACCGTATATTAGGAAAAACAACAGGTTACAGACAGGGTGCAGAGATTGGGAGGGGTAAAACTGATGGTAAAACCACATTGGCAATGGCAGGAAATGCCAGCAAATGCTCCAGTTGTCACAGAAGTGCTCAGAAAAAAAATAATTCAGTATCATTAGATTTCTCAAATATAGCAGTCTGGAGCAAAAATGCCAATCTAAACTCAGTGCCTTCTGAGCTAACTCTATATTACATTCCAACATAAAAAATAATGATATTCTTCCAAATGGACCTGAATCGTGCAAGTTAAAATATGACCAATATCTTTTCTTTAAAAGAACTAGGAACCAGGTTTTATTTTAGGAAAGATATGATTCATAATATCACAGAGCATGTGCTTTTAATTTGGATATTTGACTCTTTCTTAGGAAGATAGGGAACAACTAGTCCTCATACTAAAATTTTTCCAACAAATATTGGTAAGTAGGACCACAATAAAGGCGGAATTTTCTTATTTTCAGAATCTTTGGATATTGCTATATCTCCTTTAACAGGTAATTTAAATACTATTTTTGGTTCTATCCTGATTTGATATTAATTTCAAGTGAATCAATTAAACTTTGAATCTTTAATTTTGAGTTTTTAAATATGTTTATAGTGGTCTGATTCATAAAGGCCATCTCCAGATCCTCTAACAGTGAATGAATTCTGGGCGGCGAAGCTTAATGAATGCGCCAAGGGAAAAAAATTGTTTAGCTAATTAAGCCAAGTCACGTCCACGAAAATACACACTGGACCAACTGGCCATCTAACACCATCACTTACTCATGGCATGCATTTCTCCTGGACATGAGCCTAGGAGTAGAGGGCATGGCTTGGAGGCAGTGGAGGATCTGGAGTTGAGCTGCTGCTGTCCTGTCTGGAGAATGAAAAGACAAGCCTGGACAGTCACATTCATCTATGATTACACTGTCACACCTCCTGTACCTTCTAGAAGCATGTGGGCCTGCCTGACTAATTCTCCCATCTCATTTTTGTTCATCTCCAGCTTCAGCCTCAACCCCTATAACCTCCCTCCAGGTGGAACTGTCAGTGGTCCTCTCAAGTGCCTCTTCGTGGGGTTCCATTTATAAAACCGTTTCATGAAGACTTTGTCCGCAGCATAGCCTCAGTGAAAATGGAAACCTGGGAGTCCCCTCCACTGATATTTAAATTCTTTTTTTCATCTATAGATTTTCCTTCACTCTTACCTGAAGTGACCTCTCCATCAGGTAAAGTCTTTGTGTTTTTTAAGTTAATGAGCTGGGCTTCTTCTTTGTATGGAAAACGAGCCTATTCATGATCATATTGACCATAAAATAAAGCTCAATGAAATGATACACCTGACTTCTTTCTACTCGTTTTTAATTAGTCTCTTGATTATACACAGATACAGCTTCAGCCCTAGTAGAAGTAGATGCTCCCTCTGGTAAGGATTTCTGCCTGTCATATTTCTAAAGCTAAACATAACCATGCTCAACTTTTCCTTTATTTAACTAATTAACATATGTACTGAATACTCCATCTGTGGTATAAATCCAAATGTTCACAGGAAGCACATAGAGGAAGCTCCACATCTCCTGAACTCAGCCACTGACATAGATGTGGCCCCCAACACAGACATCCCCTGCTGCCTGCTGCTCTGGTCTTGCTTAGATATGCCCGAAGGATGCCATGGCTAACAACCTGTACCTAACCTGCTTGTCTGTGTGTATTGTGTTGCAGGTCATGACTCCACCCTGCCCCAACATACACATACAAAAGAACTGGATTTTGACAATGTTAACTTACTGGTTTGCTCTTCTCTTTTCCTCCATACTGTTAGTCAACCCAAAATACTCTTCTCCATTCGCAGATACAACCTTTACATCAAATGAAGTACCTTTTTCACCAGGTATGTTATCTGCCTTTGCAGTCCCTGGTAAGTGACTTTCTGAGAACGCCAGCCTGTCAGGAATTAAAACACCTGGAATAAACACTTCCTGCTTCCCCAGGTAAGGTTAAGTGAGAAGGAGAGGTAAGGAGAAATCAAACAGTTCTCCAGAGGATTCCAGGCCCTCCCCATCACTGGTTATAAAACTCGGTTGGTAGCAATTGTAACCTGGTCTTACATAGATTAGGTGACACTCATAAGTTTTACTTCCTTTATGAAAAAATGGCAACCAAAATCACTTCCGGTTTCTGCAGGAAGCTCTTCTTGGAGTGTGCAAGTAGTTACGGTGGCTATAACCCTTATCTTCCTTCTTCTTCATTTCTGATTCACCACACTGAGTCCAGGGTGAATGAAACTCCCACATCCTATACTCCTGAAAGACAGAATAGTTAGAACGAATACGTGTTTTGGGACCTTACAGGTTTGAATTATGGGTAGCCTGATCATATTATATGATTCCCCTGAGTTTCCATTTCCTCATCTCAAAATGGCGGTAATACGTATCTGGATTAGTCATTGTAAAGACTAGAGACCTAAATGATCTGGCACCTTGCCATTGTTCAAATAAGAATTGTTACTGATCCACCCAACAAAACACTAACTTCTTATAAACTATTTCATTCCTGAACATGTAAATTCACAAAAATGAATGTATATTACCTATGAAACAGGCTTGTTTTCATAAACTTATAGTCTATAATATAAAAAATTTCAATGAAATCAAACTTAATGTTCTGTTCTCACTAAATTTTTTTGGCAGCTGGAGACCCAATTTCAATGAAAGTGACACCATCCCCTGGTAATGATTATATGTCTATTACTAGATTAACACTAAATTTTATAATTTATTGTCATAAAATCTATTGATAAATTTCCTACCTGCTTCATATACTCTAGTGTAGAATTACACCTCTCACATATGACCTTTCTCTTATTTAACTTGACCTTCTTCATTTTCAGTCCCTATAAATATATTTCCTATAAATGTTTTTTATTCTTCTTTTCAAAATTTCATTATATTTATAATCTTTATTACTACTTAATCATTTTATTTTTGGAGAACAAAGGCTATCTAACAGCACTTGTTACATTTTGATGCTAAAAAATAAAATAGACCTTAACGGAGAGTATTTCTATATTCAAACTAAAATAGAAACTTAAACAAAAGTATTAATGTCTGAAATTAGAGAAAGTCTTTGGTTCTTGGGTTTTGAACATAAATGAGTTTCAAGGTATGCATTTTTAAAACTTTATTTTTATTTACAGTTACAATTTCAATGCAAGAGATGATCCCTTTACCTGGTAATTTTTGTTTTGTTCCTAATCATTAAAATGATCATATATCCATTAATACCATTAGGATTATATTTCTTTTTAATTTAAATTCCCTACTGTTCACAGAAGATAATTATGTTTGTAATTGCGTATGTGGAGACACATACACTGGATTAGAAGCCTGAAATTCACCCTCCCAAGGCCTCACTCAGAAGAGACTTACCATATTCACAGTTCACATTCTTTCTTCCTTTCCTTTCCTTCTCCTCCCCTCTTCCTCTCGCTCTCTCGCCTTCTCTCTTCTTTTGGTGCAGGGGATAGAACCCAGGGCCTCAGGCTCACATGTATTCTACCACTGAGCCATGCTCATAGTCTCTGTGTACATAGTCAAACAGGCACAATAATCTTGCTTCCAATATTACAGCAACCAGTTAGGCCAGGAGACAGCAGCCATCCTAGACCAAGCATACTGCAGTCAGAGAAATTAATGCGACTGTGGATTATTAATATTCACTAAGCCTTCTTCCTGTGCCAAACAGTGCAGAATACTGACAGATAAAGCTACCTCAGACCAATTAACATGAAGGTAAAACATTTTACATATGGCTATTGATCAGATACTGTCGGCATAATACAGTTCCCTATGATGACATTTTGGTCAACAGCAGGTCATATATATGACAGTGGTCTCATAACATTATATGGCCTGGCAACACTGCAGCCAATTTGCTATGTGTAAATGTATTCAAAGTGGATTTATGATATCATACAACAACAGAATCACCTAATGGCACACTTCTCAGAATGCATCCTCCTGTTTAATAACACACAATTGTACAGATTTTGTTTAGTTTTAATTTTAAAATAAACTTTCTTTGGAGTACCATTTATATTCAATAGTTGTACACATCTATGAGTTCTATATAACATATGCAACTATGTAACCACCAGTTAGGTGGTGCAAGAGCATATCCATCACCCAAAAATGTTCCCTCCTGCCCCCTGCAATAAATCTCTCCGTCTTCCCTAGGCAAACACTGATCTGTCTCTATAGTTTAGGTTTGTTTTTTTCTAGAATCTCATATAAGTGGGATCAAATACAGTATTAACTGTTCTATTGTAGCGGACATTTTTTTTACTTGACAAATTGTTTTTGAGACTGAACTGTAAGGTTCTATACAATGGCAATACATTCCTTTTATTACTTAATAACATTTCACTGTATACATAGACCACAGTGTATCCATTTCTCCCTGGATGGGCACTTGGGTTTTTCCAGTTCCGGTTATTATGGAGAAATCTGCTATGCACAAATCTTTCTGGGGGTATATGTTTCCACCAATCTTGAGTGAATACACGAGAGTGGAATAGCCAGGTTACATAATATAGGTTTATTCATAATTACTCCTTAAGAGTAAAAATAATTTCATAGAACATATTTTGTTTGATGAGTCAAGTCAGAGCCTCAATTTAGAGCAGTTGTATTTCAAGGATTTGGAGGGTTTTGATTTTTACATATATATATCCTTCACCCACCCCCATCCCATATTGAGGACTGAACTCAGGGCCTTCACGCTGAGCTACATCCCCAGCTCCTTTTTTATTATTGACACAGGGCTTGCTAAAGTGCTCAGGTGGAATTTGAACTTGTGATTTGTCTGCCTTTGCCTCCCAGAGCAGTGAGATTACAGGCATCTACCACCACCCTCAACTATTGAGTTTTAGATGAGGTACTTTGATGTCTAGGAAACTGGGCTTGCCCATGGGGGTAGGGGGAGAGAAAAAAGAAGGGAGGGGAAGGGACGGAAGGATGGGGATAGAGAGACAATGACAGAGAGAGAAAGAGACAGGGACAAAGTGAGCATGAACGTATAGTGGTGCGGGCGGACAGCAAAACCAGAAACAGAATTCATCGCAGTGTTATTCTTCCTGACGGCTTTTCTTGACGTCTCTTGCCCTGCAGACTCGCCCCTGCGCCTGGCGGGCGGGAAGAACCGCTGCGAGGGCCGGCTAGAGGTGCGGTACCAGGGCGAGTGGGGCACCGTGTGCGACGACCACTGGAACATGAAGAATGCCCGCGTCGTGTGCCGCCTTCTGGGCTGCGGCCGCGCACTGGGCTCCCCGGGTCGTGGCCGCTTTGGCCCGGGCTCGGGCCCCATTCTGCTGGACGACGTGCGCTGCACAGGCACCGAGGACGCGCTGGAGCGCTGCAGCCACGCGGGCTGGGCGCGCCACGACTGCCGGCACCACGAGGACGCGGGCGTGGTCTGCTCAGGTACCGCCCCGCGGCTGCCCTGTGGCGGCGCCCTCGCACCACCTGCTTTTGTAGGAAGCCTTTCCCTCCAAGTATCTTTGAGGTCAAAATTCACCACCCCGTAACATGATGCTTGGTCGAGGGCCCAGCTCTTAGTATAACGAAGTTGCACTGGCTAAATACACCTAAAAAAAAACCTGGTGGGGGTTTTGATCATCCAGCTTGGCAACTGATTAGTTTTATCTAACTGCAGTGTTTGTTCTGAAATGTAGCTAAAAGAGTATGAGATCAAAAGAGTGGGTGATAGGGCAGGAGATATAGCTCAGTGGCACAAGCGCCTGCCTGGCAAGTGCATGGTCCTGAGTTCGATTCCCAGTACAAAAAAAAAAAAAAGGTGATAGTGTCCTGAAATGATTATGCGCATAGAACTTGATGCTGTGGGTTGGACTACAACATATCCAAATCCCTTTTCAAACTCTGAGGTGGGCTTCAAGGGCACAGACCTTTCAAGGGACAATGCATGACCTTGCCCTAACCTTCAGAAGTCCCTGGGACACCATACAGTGTCCCGGATTCCCTTGTATCCTGTGCATCCAAGATTTGGCCTGTACCTTTTCTAGGATATATTTTATTGTCATCCAACTTCTTGGCATTCTGCCTCGCACAGGTGACTGCCTTCTCTATGCAGGAGTACTTTCTAAGTACTTCCTGTTTGTCCTGAGCTCACCTTGTCTGTTCCATTTTTAGTTCTTTGCAGGTGACCAAAGGAATTATTGCCCCTGTGTTTACCTTTGTGTAGGCATTGCCACTGTTTTGATTAGACCTGGGACCTGAATAGAAAGGCTGTCAGAGTCCCTGAAGATATTCATCATGCAGATCCAAGTGGTTTGAGTCTGTTGCTGGAGTCAACCTTCAAGAGCCTTGTTTTTATGGTGCCTTTTCTTAGTCCAGCCCAGTTCTGGTGCTGTCAGAGGACCCACTGTCAATGGCAATTCATTTTCCTTTCTTTGACTGTACATCAATTGAGCTTGCTTCTATGCAGGACAGTGCTCAAAGAACCAATAGTCTGAGGTGCAGGGTGTCTACAGAGGTAGAATGAATCTATCTAGCTGTGCTTCCTAGGCTGAGCCTTTACCCTAGGAAAATGTCCTGTCTTCCTAGAGGAGCATAGATTGAGGGCTGTAGACTCAATCTTTCCTAGCCTCAGGTCCCAATATACCACACATGTGGAAAAGGACATCAGCCAGACTTTATACATGGGACAGTGCTTACACTCTCTGAAGCTCTGTGTTTACTATTCTTTTGCTCCAACAAATCTTAACACTACTTCATATATGCCAGAATCTAGCTCCAGCAGGAGACTCTGGGCCCTCTTTTCCTCTGCATGATCTGGAATAATTTCATGCCCGGGTACTTTAGCTTTAATAGCTAAACAAGTGAGCCCACCCACCTATGTTTTTCATCTAGTGCTAGTTATAATGTCCTCTTCCAGTGTTTCAGCACTGTGGACTTCTGTTTTTGTCATCTTCCATTGCCAGGTCCAGCTGACTCTGTTGTGCCCAAGGACAAAGGTAAAGCCATTCTCTCACCCTGGGTGTGAGGCTGCAGAAAGGGAGAGCTAAGAGAGCAGCCAGTGGGGAAGAACGAACAGGTTTTGAGCGGGGATTGGCTGTTGTGTTGCCACTGAGATCTCTCATTTCCATCTGTGTGCTGGGCTTTAGGAGGTTGGGGAAGTAGCACCCTTTGCACCCAAGCTCCTTCCCTTTCTGTCTCCACTCATTCTTCAGCTTCCCTCCATGCAAAGGCCCAGGGCATATGTTCAGGCTCAGGTGATCTCAGCATGGGAAGTGAGCTGTCCTTTAATCCTTACATAGGCTCTGACTCATGACCCAGGGGATATATGCTGTGTATAGGATTCCCCCGTGGATGCAGTATGGGCTTACAAAGTATGGGCTTAGCTTTTTAAAGATAGGGGATGTAAATAAAATCAATGAAAGCCAAGGGCAGGACAGAGGGTGAAGAATGCTGAGCCAGCTTCAGCCCACAGCACTTACTATGAGACTTTTAGAAAGTGAACACATACTCAACCCCTGGCTTGTACACACAGTGCAGCAGGTTCTTCTTGTGACGATCCTCCCCCTCCTGCAGCCCAGCTCTCCTGCTTGCCCCACCTCTTCCAAGCTGTCATTGACCGAGGCTACCTCCGGAGACTGGGGTATTCCTCCTGGGACATTCACCTAAATGATAGGCTGTGTCGCCCCCAAATCACTGGGCGCTACCTGATCTTCAACATTCCTTATGGCCACTGCGGCACTGTCTGGCAGGTAAGAAGCTGACGAGGAGGTGGTATCTTCTATAAATGGAGGTCAAAGAGAGAGACTTGGAAAATTCAACAAACTGTTAAAAACCTGTGTAGCTGAGAGTCATGTCACATGCCTATAATTCCAGCACTCTGGGAGGCTGAGGCAAGTTTAAGCCCAGTCTGGGCAATTTAGTGATCTAGAAAGACCCTATGTAATTTTTTTTTTAATTTAAAAGGGCGAGGGATGTAGTTCAGTGTAAAGGTCCTGGGTTTAATCCCCAAGATGTGGGGGCAGGGACACTGTGTAGGACAGAGGAAAAGCACAAAGCATGACTTAATTTCTGAGTTTGGTGAGAACTGGAGCAGCTCACTAGTTTGTCTGAAACTTTCCTTCCAATGAGTTATTTAGGATATACACTGAACTTGGGATATGCTCAAGTGTTGAGTGCTGATGTGTATTGGACGTGTGGATGGAAGAATATAAGGATGGATGGATGGATGAATAGATGATGGACAGATGGATGGATAGATAATATTCTCTTGCTCTTTCACAACATGTTTCTTGATAGAGCATTAGTCCACATCTACCATGTGCAAGCTTTGGTGCTAGGATGGAGGAGGATAGAGGGTCTGTCTGTCTGATTGTTATATTTCTAACCAAGTTGCTATCTTCTACAGTCTAGAAAGTGTACATCTAGAACACTTGTCAATAATGAGTCTATTTAATGTCTTCAATTTTCCGTGAACACATACTTATTTCACAAAACAATGGCATTGAAATTAAGGGAACAGGCATACCAAAGACACAGTGAAAGTACACAGATATGATATTCTCTGTCTTGGTATATTTAACAGTGAAAGATGTTCCAAATTAAAATCCTCATACTGTTCTGTTCTTCTGCATCCCTGTTTAGATACACCCCAAGATCTTACTTTCACAAGGCAGATTCATTCAAACAGTAAATAACGCCAAATAATTCCTCTAACACCATACTTCACATTTTATCTGTTGCTTGATTGTATACATCATAACCATTCTTACCTTTTTTGCTCTGAAAATTCTACTCTTTACCTCAAAGGATTGCACCCCAGGAGACATACTGGAAGTCCACAGTGTCTTGGAGAGTGGTGGCTCCCAGAAGCTTCTGGGACTCAGAGGGGGCCCTGTAAATGTCTGATCTGGTGTGGCTTACCCAGTTCCCCCAGAAGGGCCTGTATGCTGGCCACAGTGCTGGAGCCAGACAGCATAGCAGAATCAGTAGCCATGTGGAGTGATAGCTAGTCCTGGGCCACCTGAAGGAAAGGAAACACTGTCATGGGAAGGTCCTGAGTCTGATTTCAAAGTCTTAAGTGAGCATCCTCCTAGGTGCTAAGGATACAGATCCCTGCCCCATGGCTCTTACATTTAAGCAAAGGAAGACAGGTACTGGACAAGCATACAAATGTGAGTCCTTTTTACAGTGAAGAGGGTAAAGAAGTTAGCAAAACAAGGTTTTGTAGGGTGGAAGAGGAGCTAAAGGAACCACAACTGAATGATGAGTTGAAGCAGCTAGGAAAGGGGAGGAGGAACATGCCATGCAGGGCCCTGGCTAGTGCAGGTTCTGGGGGCAGCAGGAAGCTGGAGTGTTTGAGGAAGAGACTAGGGGCCAGCATATCCAGTGCCAGATTGCAAGTGGGTGGGTCAAATGGCCATGGAGTTTGGGTTTTATTCTAAGCTGTGCATTCTCAGGGCTGGGGATTTAGCTCAGCGGCAAAAGCGCCTGCCTGGCAAGCGCAAGGTCGTGAGTTCGGTTCCAGGTACCAGAGAAAAACCAAAAAAACCCAAAAAATAAAAAAAACTAAGCTGTGCATTCTCAAGGAGGGTAGTATAACCGTCAAGGGGTGAGGAGAGATATATACTCATTCTTAGGGGCCAAAACAATAAAATCTTTCTTTATGGATAAAGCACAAGTGTATATACAGTGCACAGTTTGTTGAATTAAAATTTCATACTGGGGACTACAGAGAGGACAGGTGGAATAGGAAGGAAACATCTACAAAGCTCCTTCTGAGGGCCTTAACAGGGAAAAGGTAGAAAAACACTGGTCTAATCTGACAAATGGAGCAGCCCTTGGAGGATTGTGAGGCAGAAAATCACAGGCTCTGAATCATGAAAGCTGCAAAGGCCTCTGAGTAAACTAAGCCTCTGTGTGTCCACATGGGGCACCAGAAGAAGGTGGGGAGAAGTAGTGGCCCCTGCCCATTAGTCCCCAGCTTCTCCTCAGCCTCTGAAACAATGGGCTGTATGGAGAAATGTAGGAGATAGAGCTTCAGGCTGCATCACCACCTAGTCTGCCACCCACCTTATAGCTGAACAGCTTGGCTTTCACAGCAGGGAAGGAAGGAACCCCATCAACTGGGGGAGGGCTTCCTGCATGTTCTGCACACATCATGTCATCCTTTCATGGCATTAAGGTCTGCTCAGGGGCTGCTGCCCCTCAGTATATGGACAAGCTGGTACTAGGCAGCAGTAGAAAGATGAGGTTTCTTCTCTAGAAATCAGGCGCTTGTTGGGGAACCAGGAGTACTGGCCACCAACTGTTCTCTCATCCTCACAGAAACACCTGGGCTCCCTCAGCTACTCCAACTCCATCAGAGGCCACATACGGGGCCACCCTGGCAGAGTCATTGTGCGGCACAAGGTACCCGAGGTGAAGTTCACCTGCAGAGTGGACAGCCCGTCTGCTGTAGAAGTCGTTCATGAGGCCGACAACACCCAGACAGAGGGTGCCAGCTATGATGTGTCCATTATATTTCGTCAGTCACCAGCATCCCAGCATGGTAGCCACATGGCATACTATGGCAGTCAGAGGGAAGAGGTGTTCCTCCAGGCCACGCTCCATAACCCCAATCCCAATGTGAGGCTCTTTGTGGATACCTGTGTGGCTTCTCCAGATCCCAGTGATTTTACCACCATCGCGTATGATTTGATCCGGCAAGGGTAAGAAAAACAGAAGTATATACAGTGCACAATTTGTTGAATTAAAATTTCATACTGGGGACTACAGAGAGGACAGAAGAAGGCACATTTCCTGGCCTCCCAGGCCTTCTTCTGAAATCTGAGTGGAAGCCTTCCTGACCCCACAACTCTTGCATTCTGCATGCACCTGAAACCAATACCTTGTGGGTGACACCAAGGTCTACCACGATCTGGAGCAGTAGCTAGGCTTCCTGCTTTCTTGGTTGTAGGCATGAAGGAAGCTAGGCTTCCTTTCTTTTCTTGGTTGTAGGCATGAAGTGCCTAGTTGCTGAGTGCTATGAACCTAGTCCTGAAGGACACATTCCCTAGGTCACTGCCATTCTGGGACCTGGTGTTCTGAGGCTCTTTTCTCAAAGCAAAGTCTTTCACCTTTACAATCTTGAGGCTGCAAAGAGAGGAGTCTTGTTCGTTCTTGTGATGTCCTCAGGCCATCTTTTCTATTGTCCTGTTCCTTTCCAGCAACCAAGTTTTCCACTGCTCCGTCTTTACAACAGCTTCCTTTTTGGCCAAACTCACAATGTTTCAAATCATGGTCCTGGGCTATGATTTTCAACATAGATCTTGCTAAAAGTCCCCAAAAGTAACCAAGCCACTGTGTCAACATTAGACTGCCTTGAAATTTCTTCTGCCAAATTAATTAGTGCACAACCCTTAATCTCAGTCTCAGGCAACATCTCTGGACAAGAAAAAAATGCAGACACATTTCCTGCCAAAGCATAATGCACGCAGTCTGGAGTCCAGTAGCCAATGCAGTCCTCATGTCTAACTGAAAACATCCTGAGCCTAGTCTTTACTGGATGCATTTCGATCAACATTCTAGTCTTCTCAACATTGACCAGAATCTCCCATTAAGCTTACCTTACAGCATTCTGGGACTACCTCTTCAGCTAGCATCTCCAAAACTTTCTAAATTCTTCCTGACAACCAGTTCCAAAAACTCCTGAACCACATGGCCAGGTAATGTCACAGCAACAGCCCCACTCCCAATACCAAAATTTGTCTTAGTTACTTTTCTGATTGCTGAGACAAAGTACTCAATACCCACAAGTTATGGAAAAAAGGAAAGATTCACATCAACTCACAGTTTGTAGAGTTTTCAGTTATAGTCAGCTGGCTTCAAGGCGGGGTAGCTCAGCAGTGTGGCTTCACAGAGGAGAAACAGCTCCTGCCATGGCAGAGAGAAGGCAGCAAGCAGTGAAACAACCCTCCTTTTCCCTTTTATCCCATCCAGGCTACAAGCCTTTTGGGTGGTGTCACCCACACCCAGAATGGGCCTTCCTATTGCCCCCACCCAGAACTATACTAATTCTGATCAGTGGACTAATTTAGTACCATACATCTTTAATCTCAGTGTCACATGTACTAGATGTAGCCATCTCCAAAAATCCCCACCTATGAGCACATAAGACATGGGGGGGAGGATAGCTAGATATAAGCCATAATACTGACAGAAGGATATTAAACTACCCAAACATAATCATGAATTTATTGATTTCTCTTTGCAGTTCCATCAATTTTTACCCCATATATATATATATA